ATCATAATCTCTTATGCTTAAGGGCATGCTTGGTTTGCAAGGAACCTAAAAGGAATTTTCAGGGAAGTTGTGAGCCCATGCGTGGTCAACTTTGTCCATGATTCAATGATTTTGGCACAAAAACCAATACAATAATATAATCAACTATGTTAGAAGTATAATCAGTTTTGTTTGATATAGTTGATTTTGTGAAGAGAATAATTGTTTGTATAGTCGAGTAACTTGGGATATAATCGATTACATGAGCTTTTATTGATATAAGTCACTTATATTTAGAATGTAATTAACTATATACACTTTCGAGTTTCCTAATCAAAAAGCACTTTTAGGGATAAATAATCTATTATACCTAAATCAATCACACCACATGTCCTTGGAATGTTTCCTTCCAATTGTAAGCCAGACCTCATGGCTTCATAGCTTTCTGAGAAACTTCTTTAGGGTTTCTTGTGAACCAAACACCCTCTAAGGCCTTGTTTGGACGAGGAAACCCCTCAAATTTTCTTTCTTATAAAGTTATTTATATATTTTCATATCACAATATCACAACAAAAGAGGGTAAAAGTAGCATTTTTAGCATTTATTTTCCTTAACACAATTCTCAATTAATAAAATTTTTTTTCCATACTTTTTGAAACAAAAAGTTTCCCCAACTTTCTTTATGTGAGACTTATTTGATAACTTTCCTATTGATTTTTAATATATCAATTTCCTATCAAACATACAAAAATTAACAACCCACAAAACTCCAACAAAATTTTATAACAATACTATTCAACTTTTGGCACGATACTTGCTCAAAATCTTTCTCAATAAAGTTGGCTTCTAATCAAATAAACCCTAATAAGTGTTTGCTTGGGAGGGAAATTCTCCCCAACTTTCCCTCTTTTAGGGTTATTTATAAATTTTTATACCTTAATATTACAACAAAATGAGGTAAAAGCAACAGTTTAGTCTTTATTTTTCATGATAGAATTTACAATTAGTAACCTTTTCTTCCAATGCTTTTGAAAGAAAAGTTTCCTCTCAACTTTTCCAATGTGTAACTCACTTGACAACTTTTCTATCAACTTTTCATATATAAATTTTTACCATATAAAGAAAAGTTAACAACTCAATAAAATTCTAATAAAATTTCATTACAAAATTTATCAATTTTTTTTGTGTAATACTTTTCAACTTTTCATGTATTATTTTCCCAAATAGTTTCCTAATAAAATTTTACCAATAAAGTTGGTTTATAACCAAACATGCCCTATATCTTTTGATATCCTGTCAAGCTAAATGTAAGGATTTATAATCACAGGATCTTCTCCAAACCGTATAAGATTTCAAAGGCTACAATCCAACTATATCACCATTATCTACTTCATGCTCTCGCTAGACAACTTCTTTAGTGGCTGGCGTTGTACAAGACTTGTATATAAAGTGTATGTGTAATAGATTCTATCTCTCTTTCTACACATGATAACTCCCTAGAGTTATTGTCCTACTATTCTCCAAAGTCAATGGTTTTTTTTTTTTTTTTTGAACAACTACAAGGCAATGGTGAATTCAATCAATCCATGTTTGAATTCCAAATTTTCAATCAAGTTGATTTTTTTTTAAGCCTTGACTTTCCATTGCCTATTTTCAAAAAAAGAATTCTAAGCCTTGACTATAAACTGGTAAATGGAATACAATATTGGATCATTTTTAAGTCCGACGGAAAAGAATACCAATGTATATATTGTTTATAAGTTTATTAGAAAAAGTTTATTTTTGTTATTTATGTTTGTTAGATTATACTAACTTATTTCTTTCTAGCAAATATTCTAATATTATAACTTATTTACGCATCTTGCATGTTTTGACAAAAAGTACTACAATATTAGATCCAAAAACAAAGGTAGAGAAGAAAATTAATGAACTGATACATGATACGTGACATTAAAAATATAAATCGAATTAGTTAACCCACTAAATAAAAAAGATCTAATTCACTCTATTTTTTGGTCCTTTTGAAGCCTTACCTTTTTAGGCCTAATATAAGCACTATTCTTTGATGAAATGTGAACTTTCCAATTCTCATTTCAGAATTGTTTTGAACACGATTTTGAGTTTTGACTAACGGTTGATTTCAGGGGTACATTCTAAATCATTATGTTCTTTGTTCACATGATGCTCATGCATAAGGAAATGGAGATGAAAGTGTTGTAGACTAGAAATGTTTATGTGATTAGGTAACATGAATGATGATTTTAACAAAGAAAAATAAGTAAATTATTCCTTTAAAGTAATTTTCTTTGGTGAGTAACGTTTTGGTAACATTTTGGTGGCAAATTAAGTCTTTAAAGTTTATATCTACAAAAAAATGTGTCCAAAGTAAATGGAGAAAATCACTTGTCGGTCATATAGCTGTAATTTTTTATCTGTTTATGTGCAAGTTGCCTTAAAAATAATGAAATTTAGTGGCAAATAAGCCGTCAAAGCTGCAATATGTTGCTAATATGCTCGAAGAGCAAATGTGGCCTAAGTGAAAATGATGACTCGCTTATAACTTTCTCAATTTACTTTGAGCACATTTGATATAAACTGTAATCTAGTCATTTATTTTTTATCAAAATTTTATCAAGAGCTTATTCACTCATCAAAGTTATTTTAAGGGGCCGGGCTAATTTTTCTATTGACTTTTTTTTGTGGGGATAAAGAGAGAACATATCATAGTAACTTAAACTGGTATATAAGTTTTGGGGAAGACATTCCCAATGGCATTGGAGTGCAAAATACAACCAAATTCAGTAAGACATTAATTAAGTGCAATAGAATAGTTAGTTGACTTGGTGCCTTCTTTAGCTAAATACTCCGTTGCAACATTAACTTCCCTAAAGATGTAAGTGAGATGTAAGTGAACTGTAGAGCACATACTTGGTCCAACAATATTTATGTAATCACAAACAAGAATGCCCAATTAGTGGAACTTGTATTTACTTTCAACTCGTAGATCAGGTACTTTTGACGCTTATTTGCCATTTCAACTCCATACTTTCTTCTATTTTGTAGATAATAATTGTATAATCATTTGCGTAATGGTCACATCGGTTGGATTTTTTCAAGTGGAAAGTTAAAAGTAGCGATTTGCCGCTAAAGAAAATTTGAAAGACATATTTACGAAAACTTTACAATTTCAAGGATTCACTTGTCTCAAAAAAGAGTCCCTACAGACAACAAAAAAAGAAAAAAAAAGGAAAAGAAAAAAAGAAGAAGATAACAACCACAACCGCGTCATTACCAACCGAGTAACCGACATAGACTAGAAATTTTTTTTTTTTATTTTTACTTTTATATTTTAGGTTATATAATAAACAATAATTCTATTTCATCCCATCTATAAGTTATACAACTTAAATTTTTGAATCTTTTTCTCTATTTGAAGAAAAATTACCATTAAATTATTTAAATTGTTAGTTTTATCTTTTATGTTGATAAATTAGAAATATTTATTTAGGCAAATGATATGGTGTGAAATTTTGGTGGTAAATAAATAATAAACCTTTGTAATATATTTAAATAAAAATTAGTAAAAGAAAGAGAAATAAAAGAAGCGGAAGGGAAGAGAGGAGAGGAGAAAGGTAGTGATTAGTACTAAACTCGTTTGAATAAACAAAAGTAAATAAGGGTGGAAAATAATATTTTTATTTTAATAAATAATTAAAATAAAATACTTATATATTTATTTTTAATAAAATTTTTAAAAATAAATATATAATGAAAATTCATCGCAATTCTTTTAAATTTAAGGAATTAAAAACAGAAAAAAGAGAAATGGAGAGGATTCCATCTCCTTTTCCCTCCATTAAAAGAAATAACCTAAATAATAGAAGGAAATGTCTTCCCATCACTCTCCCCAATCCAAATACACTGTTAAAGTTTCAATACGTAGCCAATGTGTAAAAAATGAATGTAGAGAATTATATTACTTATGTAGATACTTCTCTTTGTTTGTTTATGAAACAACCTTTGATCAAAACTCACCATGGCCTAACAATTCTTTGATCCAAAATTCATAAGCTCTCAAAAACTTAAACTTAAGTTATTCGTTATAGTTGGTCACCATATTTATATATTAAGCTTATTCATACTTCTCTATCGATATTGGATTTGAGACTTTACAATTTCCAACCTTCAAAAACTTAAATTCAAATTATTAGTAATAATTGGTCTCTACAATTATATATCAAATTTACATACACTTCACCACTTACATGAGATTTGAGATATTACAGTTTACACACCAATTGCCTTTAAAATAATGAAAATTTGATTACAAATAAGCCTTCAAAGTTATAATTTGAATCAAATATGCAAAAAGGAGAAAATGTGTCTAAGGTTAAAATGATGGACTGCATATTCATCTGCCTCTCCATATATTTTGAGTATATTAACTATATATTACATCTTTAATTGCTTGTTTGCACCAATATTTTATTAAAAACTCATTCATTGGTAAAAATTATTTCAAAGGGTCTAATTTACATATTTTCAATCTTAAGTCCATACTTTCTCTTATTTTGGAGATAATAATTTTCCCTTTAAATAGATTTTTTCATATACTACATGTTTAGATTGAGAGAAATGGAGAGGAGGGAAAGGGAGGAGAGAGGTTCCATTCCTCTCCCTTCTCCCCTCCATTCCCACCTTTATTTTCCTCAACCCAACATATGGGTAAAAAACCAAAGGAGTATCTCCACCAAAGAAAAATTCACTAAGGGCATATTTACCAAAACTTAACAATTTAAAGGACTTATTTCTGATAGCTGACGCCCACCTCATCCCAGTCTCCAATCATCTGAACCGACTATAACCGAACCGACACTGCGTAACCCGTGATATAAACCTTCCCATCTCTACAAAAATCTCGAGGGGCAAACTCGGAAACACGGTCAAATTCTATCCAATTGCCAAAGAACAAACCGTATCGCACCCATTTATCTCAACTCTCCTCCATCTCGAACCCACAGGGAAAGTTCCACCAAATCGCTTTTCCTCCGTGACTCTCCCAAATCAGTTCCCCACCCTAATTGACTGAGCCATCTCGACCATGGACATGGCCTCCGCCCCGCCTTCCCATCCCGTCAGGGGTGATGCCTCCGCCTCTACCTCATCTGCAGCAGATAGCGTCAATTCGTCGTCGCCTTCGGCAACATCCGCGTCTGTGAAGGAAGAGATTGCGTCGTCATCGCCGGTGTCGTTGGCGGCGGCGGCGGCAGTTAAGTACGAGGTCGAGGAGGAGGAGGAGGATGTGTGCAGGATCTGTAGGAATCCGGGAGACGCGGACAACCCGCTTCGTTATCCGTGTGCGTGTAGCGGCAGCATTAAGTTTGTGCACCAGGAATGCCTTCTCCAATGGCTCAATCACAGCAATGCTCGCCAATGCGAGGTGAGTGCTTTTAGATGTATATTATTTCTTTTCTTTTTTTTGGATCAGGTATTCCTAATTTGGGGACCTGGTGTTAGATTTGGTCGAGGGTTTGGTGTTTCCCTTGATTGGATCGCCTCTGGTTAGGGTTTTAGGATTTTCATTCTCAGTTTTGTATAATTCTGATAAGTTGGGTATTTGATAGATTTAGGAAGATATCTAAAATTTTTGTTAATTATTGTTGCTGGAGTATTTTAGGACTCCTCCGGTGCTGGAGATGGATGGGAGTGAGATGGCAAGTGATTCAAAAAATGAAGGAAATCATGGCTGTTTTTCTTTTCTTTTATCTATATGTTCATGTAATCAATTGGAAAGGTGTTGATCTTTTTCCCCTAATCATTTGTGGAAAAGTTGTGTGGTTAGAGATTCTAAAGAGAAAATGTTATGCTTTTCATGGAGAATGAAATATCATAAGTTATCTTCAAATGGTTGCAATCAGCTTTTTTACCCATTCATAAAACTCCTGGTATTGCACTGGATATGCTAGGCAATGCAATAAATCCAATGGTCCTTGTCACGTGGAATGAAGCACATGTCTTTTTTATGACATCATTTAATCTATGTTTCTGGTTGAGTGATAATAATTGTTAGCTTCAAACTACTTTCTCTAGGTTGGTGAGTTGTTTAGGTGATTGGCTTTTTATCTTATTTTGAATGGCTTTTGATAGAGCCAGCAAGAGAAGCTTCCCTCCCTTCCTCTCTCTACTTATGCTTTACTTAAGTGACCTTTTTTTTTTTTTAATTTTTTTGGTCTAGTCTATTATTGTAATATTAACCTACTTGATATTCTCTGCAGGTCTGCAAACATGCATTTTCATTTTCCCCTGTTTATGCCGATAATGCTCCTGCAAGGCTTCCTTTTCAGGAGTTTGTTTATGGGATGGCCATGAAAGCTTGCCATGTTTTGCAATTCTTCTTGCGCCTTAGCTTTGTTCTGTGTGTTTGGCTCCTTATCATTCCCTTCATTACATTTTGGATATGGCGATTGGCTTTTGTCAGGAGTTTTGGTGAAGCCCAGAAATTGTTTCTAAGCCGTATCTCAACTACATTTATTCTTACTGATTGCTTGCATGGATTTTTACTTTCGGCTAGCATTGTGTTTATTTTTCTTGGAGCCACTTCTGTAAGGGATTGGTTCAGGAACCTGCAAGAAGCTGGTCAGGAGGCTGACCGAGAAGATGATGGTGAAAGAATTGGTGCTCGCGCTGGAAGACAACCCCTTGTACAAGCTAATAGAAATTTTCCTGGTGATGGGAATGTTGAAGATGCCAATGGAGCACAAGGAATTGGTGGACCTGGTCAAATAATCAGAAGAAATCCTGCAAATATTGCTGCTCGTTGGGAGGCAGCTCGTCTTGAGAATGTTGAGCAGATGTTTGAGTTGGAAGGTGATGATGGTGCAGAGGATGTACCCTTTGATGAGCTTGTTGGCATGCAGGGCCCGGTTTTCCACTTAGTGGAAAATGCATTTACTGTAAGTCATTTCTATATGGTTTTGTTCCTTCATTTTTTTTTCCGTGTGTTCCACTAGTGGGCTTTCCTATCTGTGTGGACCTTCTTTTTTAGGTTTGTTGGGAGAGACAGGGTTACTGACATATGGCCTTCAAGCCGTAAAAAATAAAAATGTGTTCTGAGGTTTTTGTTTCCTTTTGTCTTACCTTGAAGTATCTGGTCCATGTTAATTCTATTTATAAAACATTTCCAGTTTCATAATTGTAGATATGATAGGGCAGTTTAAGGTACTATAGTATTTGTCTTGCCTTAAAAATATCCTGTCTAACATATTGTGCACTTAAATCCACCAATAAGGTTATTGGTTGTTGCTTTATGATACTAGGGAATTGGCAATATTTGATATGCAATGGTAATTTGATGTTGATTAGTTAATTGGTTGAATCTGATAACTAATTTTAATCTGTTATTACTTGAAAGTGCATGGTACTGCCATAGAATTAGAACCCTAAATGCCCTTTAACATATAGAGCCTATTCTTTTGCTTTTTGTGTTTGTAACAGTGGATGGAGCTACTTTTCGTTCTTTAAAAAGGAAAAAAAAAAA